AAGCTCACGCATATACAAATGCGCTATCTGATATATCTTTAAAATAAGCCTTAACATATGTACATTATTAATTTTGAGTAATACTTTTGCTTCTGTATTACATAAAAGAATATACACGAGATAATGAATTTTCTACTAACGCTCTAGCACTGCATATAGTGAGAACAGGAAATTTCCTCATAACATGTAAATTATAGTGTGGGAATGAAGGGGAGAAATTTGCTGGCAGAAAATATATTTTATATTGAATAACTGTCTCACCAAAAAATACAAAGGCGATAGACGCTAATAATATTTTAAAGGAATTTTCGGAGGTCACTAAAATGACATCTTTTTTCCAATGATGAAGTGGAAAAAATATAGCAGAGAAACATAAATCGCTGATTCGTTTGAATGCATCGTACAGTCAAATCAAAGAAGCTCAAAAGATGTTAATTGGGTTTTCAAACTCAAATTGATACACTGATTAACTTAATATTTTAGATGGTCATAAGCGTAGACAATCAGCTACGCCACACAAGGTAGCAAATTAGATCAAAGCTATACAGCGAAATTACTGTAGCATCGTACTAAACGGTCTCCAAATGTACTAGACATGGTGACAAATGCACGTACAACCCGGCTCCGTCCCACAAAGTGGAAGAAACCAAACTTTTAACACCAGGAAAATTATGTACTAATAAATAGATAACATTGAGCTGATTGTATCATATTAAATGATATAAGGTAGTTATAAATGCTAAACTGTCGGGGCCAAGCAACACAAGGTGGCAATTATTGAAAGCAAAATCAATATTAAACCAACAAATAAGATGCATATGCAAGGAAAAGTTAGGTACGTGACCCAATTCTAAGCTTACACTATCACTCTGTAAGCACAGTCCATATATTTTTCTAAAGTAGGTGGAAAGCGATACCTTTCACCACTTTTATCTCTGGATGATAATGACCTGTCATGCGGCAACCAGGCGCGGACTTTGGCGGTACCCGCTCCCTTCGTCACTTCCGGATATGCAATTGCATAGTATGCATTGCATATATTAAAGTGTCGGTGGCGCTGCAAAGTTACCCACTGGCGAGAAAAGTAAGAAGTACATTAAATTATCACACATGGAAAAATTGTCAGACGCGACTCTAAAACAAGGCAGAAGATGACCGCCGTTGGAATAACCAACTAATAAAAAGAAATACTGGCAACAGAGAAATTACAATAGTGAACAATGGTGAGGAACCTACCTAGATAGAAGAAGGAGAAATGTTGTGACATGTATCCCTGCTTCTAACCTAGTCGTACTGATTTATGATTCCGTACTTGAACAGACCCCGAAATCCTTAACTCCAAGTTATTTAACTAAAATATTGGAAATAACAATTTGGTAAGTTGAACATGAAAGTACTCAAGAAAGTGACCACTTCCTGATAACTATCACTCTACGCATGACAATAAACTTAATTAAAACGTCTTAATATCCCTAAATCTAAATGGTCATTTAATGAGAGAGAGAGAGAGAGAGAGAGAGAGAGAGAGAGAGAGAGAGAGAGAGAGAGAGAGAGAGAGAGAGAGAGAGAGAGAGAGAGAGAGAGAGAGAGAGAGTTTTCATTCTCTTTGTGATGGGACTCACACTGACCAGCTGAAACACAACATAGAATTGTTCAATCAAAACATAGAAGAAGGTTTATCGTTGATGGCTGAGAGATGCAATCTTAAAACCTGAAAGGGGGTGTCAAACAGTCAGTGTCGTAGTGGAATAACAATTCGAAGCAATCCATTAAGGAACAAAGGAAAGGCCTTAAGGCAATTGCGACTCCGAAACCATGAAAGGATATGGCAATCAAAATTCAACAGATATATCTCACAAACAATATATGTAAAATAAATGGAAACTTTGATAAATAACAGGCAGGAACACAATCTAATAATGTGTTCTCTCATATCAAAACGGCTTCCGCAATAAATTATCCAGTATATAACAACTTGTTTGTTTGGAGTCAAGCATAAAATTAGCTATTAATGCAAAAAGAGAATGCGATAAAAATTTAACAGCCGTGTTCCTTGATTTAGTAAAAGATTATGATGTTATGAGGATAAAATGGCTTATCAGGAAACTTCATCATTATGTAATTACATGCCCCATGCACAAACAGAAAGCAAATTTCATGATCGGTTTGAGATTGCAAATGTAGGCGATCAGCTATCAAATACACACCAGCTCTAGAATAGTGTGCTTAGTTCCACACTCTCTAATATTGTGATTTACAACATGGAATAGTCAATAGATCAATCCCATAATTGTCTTACCATATCTGTAATGTCTATCGCTACAATTACAATTGTCTTACCTGATCTGTAATACCTGTTGCTACGATGTACAGTTGTCTTACCAGATATGTAAAGCCCGTCGTTACGATGTACAATTGTCTTACCACGTCTGCTATAGCTGTTCCTACGAAGTACATGTATGCAATAGCTGTTGCTATGATGTATAGTTGTCTTACATGGTCTGTTATACCTGTTTCTTCGATATACATTTGTTTTCCCACGTCTGTAGTACCTGTTCCTACGATGTACATTTGTCCGACCAGGTCTGTAATTATAACCGTTGCTACGATATACAGTTGTACTATTTCTACCCTATATAATTGAATCTTCACTGCAATTATTGACGGTACGTAACAATCTTTCATATTGTTCGACAATATGTTAATGGTGTTTTGTGTCAATTAGTTAACATGTACAACATTTATTTTTACAAGGGTCCTGCCCTACCTAAAATTTATAAATTCTCTGATAATACCACTTTTTACCAATATGTGCAACATGCATTGCTTGTAGAAAGTCTCTCTTATTTTGTATTTACTTTTGTATTCTACTGACGAAAGATGTTTTCTTTCCTTGCAACTTTACATCATAGTTAACAATAAAATATAATGTAAATGACAAAAAATATAAAAAGATAGTATTTTTGGTAGTAAAAGCAAATAAGGTAGTAATTTAATTTAATTAATCATGCAGCTGACATGTTGAATAGGTTTTACTCTTTATGGTTGTCTTCTGTTTCTTCTTGTGATAGTATTTTATCGTACTAAAAACTTCTACAATGTGTCTGACAAGCGAAAGCATATTTCTTTGTAGTTCTGTGTAAGATAAATCGATATGTGCAGAAATAAAATAAAGTTTTAATGATTTTTAAGTATTTAATGATCTATTTAAAAAATTGGAACTCTTTCGAGGCGGGCTAGTTTATGTTGTTCGTCGCTGTTGTATATTTTATTTAAGTCGATCACTACTTAAATATTTTATTTTATCTTCAATTTATAAAAAGCGATTTTTATTCTGGCCAATTTGTAATTAGATATGACCTGAAACAAGGCTTACGAAAAAAGTCTTTTGTTTATGTCAGCAACGACATTTTTGTGTGTTGTGTTCTAGAAATCTACAACTGATTTGGTATGTACAATACCCTAACCATTCGATATATCCTGACACGTGACTTTTCTAAAAGTTAAGTTCAACATTGACTATTTTCATCTGGTAAGGGAGAAAAGTTTGGTTGTTTTGTGGTGTGATGGGATGGAGCAAAATTGGTTTACACTGATAAAGAGTAGATGTTGCTAAGTTTTATTTAATGTCGGTTCATTATTAAAACAAATAATAACTTTTGCTATCTGTAGCCTTTAACATTATAACCTTGACCTCATTCATAAAATTCATGAAAGATGCATGTATATAAATCTCCAAACTCTCATCTCTGCAGTTCTTTGAATGTACGTCACCTCTCAAAGAAGGGTATTTATCTCAGATTTCAAAACGAATTGGCTGGTATATTGCTATTTATTTTTTGCGTAAAAATAAATCTTCTTTTCAAAATGTTCCAGAACTTTTCAACTAAGTCAACATTTAAATTTAGTGAAACCTTATCCAAAGGTCTAAGATGCTTCTTAGTTAAATACGCCTATAATCTGAAGCAATATCCATTCATAACCTTGGCATACTTTCGACAACTCGAGACCAATAAAATTCATTGAAATCTCTTCCTCGAAGATGACTTGACGAGAAAAAGCAGGTATGCGCAGATACTAAGCATGCTGTTAGTCTTCTATACTGTCCCAGTAAAAGTATTTTGGATGGTTTGTTATTGACTTACAGACATGTAAATGTTTCTTCTAAAACTGGATTGCTGGCTGGATTAAAATGCTCCAAACCCAGGCAATATGGTGTTCTATGTTATAGGCTCTTATGGGCTTGGTATGTCTCGTTCTGTTGGAACTATATATGAAATAAACCCCACATTTGACGTTATAAACTTTTTCATAGAAAACCCGTCTTTTTTATATGGACATGAACATTGTATCCTGGAGTAGGTCCTCTGTCTTGTCTGTAAACAATATGGTGGATGTCGTTTTTCGGGTCCTTACAGACTATGGGTCTTATAACTGCAAGCAATACTAGCTACAGCTACCAATGTAAGTAATCAACTAGTATTGATATTGCTTCCTTATAAACATGGAAATCCATATTCAAGCACTGTGGTTAAATGTGTGGTATATATATATATATATATATATATATATATATATATATATATATATATATATATATATATATATATATATATATATATATATATATATATATATATATATATATATATATATATATAAGGAGTTGCAGACTAACCCCATATACATATCCCTAAAGAAATTTCATGTTGAAATGTAGTGAATTAATATATGTGTATGATTTTGGATTTTTAAAGTAGCCTTTAAGAATTTCTCAGTCATATCGCTACGATGCTTATAGTGATGTCTAGCACTGGGACATCATGCCACATGCATGTAGCATGACGATACACCCAGTCACATTATCCTGACACCAGGTCGACCAGTCCTAACGATAACCTCTTAATGCTGAATGCCTAGCGAGGCAGCTGTTAGTACCATTTGTTTAAAGTCTTTGGTATGACATTATCCTGACACGAGGTCGACCAGTCCTAATACTACGACACGGCCGGGGTTCGAACCCGAAACATCCTGCATCTGAGGCGAACGCTCTAACCATTAGGTCACCGGAGCGGTACAGTCAGATAGTTAAAAATAAATTAATTCATATAGAACTTATTCCCATAATTATTATAGTAATAGTCGTATAACACTTCAAAGTCACTTTTAAAACACTTCGTGTGATTTATTTTGTAAAACGTAAAACAATTTTTTAAAAATTTTTGGAGTATTGCCTAATGGACCTCATTATCTCATTATGGCGTATATTGTATCTACATATTTAAACTTCTAAATCAATCACAACGATTCCAATTATTGTAGATATGCTGCCAATTATTCGCTACGATTTGCTGAAAATCAAATTACCCAAAACTATCTGATTTTCTTTTTCTTTTTCAAAAAATTATGTTTAAAGGAAAGTTAATTGTCATATCAACAAGATCTCTGTAATAAAACAAAATGTATTCAGGCTGTCTTTGTCTTATTCTGCTCACCTCTCTTCCTCCAAGACGAATTGACGAGAGAAAGCAGGTGTGCTCAGTTACTAAGTATATTAATCAACCTGATATCTCCTTTCATGGTAGGAGTCAAACGTATTCGACCTTTTTGAACGTCTTGGCCAACAATATCCATCCATAACCAGTAACACCACACCATCATTTGAAATCTGCTTAACTTTATTCGAGTAGCTACTTAAAATGAAGGTCAAAAGTTTTACGCTTTCTAGGTCAGGCCTCTAAAGATTATATTTTCCACAATGTTTAAACATGGAAGAATCAGTCGGGTTAATTCTAATTAAAAACGGTATATAAAATTTAATTGATTTTAAAGAACTATGTGCTAAATAAGTAAAATAAGATATATGTGTATAACACCGCGTATTCAGCCTTCAGTATTTGTCTAATCTGAGTAACATGTCTGCATGTGTTTAACAGGTACTATGCTGCCATTGGTTCACATAGAAAAAGTTTTTTTTTTCTGGTTGTACTTGATAATGCATACTCCTCCGGTCACGACGATGAGCAATACAACAAAACCTACAACAGGTATGACCACGATCACAATTGTTCCATCTCTATGTCTGGCAATTGGATAACAAAATAGTGAGTAATGGCTAATTTTCTCTCATATGCACGAAAATATTCTGGCATGCAAATCTGCAAAAAGAAAAAGATCTATATCCGTGATTGATATAGTACCGTTACATAAACATTAAGTCTTTTCGCTTGAATTGACTTGGAAAACATTGACATTCATTTCTAATAATGACAAAATTCATATCATGTCAATTTTATTTCGTTAACTGACATTCTGATTGTATCAAGTTAATCATAGATTACATATAATACTAAATATATTGCTTCTCTTCATTGTAATGATAACGAACTATCTTTAGCTGAATATATAGGGAACTTCACAGATTCACTGTATGACGTCACAACTAAGAGTTGGCAGAGCTCTGGTTGGCAGAACCACCATGGCGACAAAGGAAGATGATCTATATATCAGCTTAGGACATTGAATAGGCAGTGCTAATTGTATAGCTTGGTCTAATGTTTTGATGTTGTGTATATTATGGAAGTCATATATATTGATTTTCCGTTAAGTAACTAATTTTCATTATATATATATATATATATATATATATATATATATATATATATATATATATATATATATATATATATATATATATATATATATAGCAGCAGAGAGGGTGAACCCTACAACAATATATTTGCGACAAAATCGATTAAAGCCTCAGAATGCCAATGGAGCCTTCCTACGAAATCTCATATTTTAACCAAAAAAAAATTAAAGGTCCCATCTTAGCGATTTTGTCGTGAATACATTGTCATAACCACACTCAAATTGCTGCCATCTACGTCTACAAATTTTTGCGACAGAATCGATTAAAGCCTCAGAATGCCAATGGAACCTTCCTACGAAATCTCATATTTCAACCAAAAAAAAAATAAAGACCCCATCTTAGCGATTTTGTCGCAAATACATTGTCATAACCACACTCAAATTGCTGCCATCTACGGTCGCAAATATGTTGTCATTTCACCCTCTCTGCTGCTGATTAATACAAATTATTTAACCAAATATTTGATCAAGTCCAATACGATATCGTGACCGAGGGTCGTGTAAATTTATTGTTATAAATCCATATGGGGCAGACTGAGCATGACTAAAGTAATTTTTAAATCCATTGAAGTCCATATCGGAACACCATGTCTGCCAAATATTTCGTAGCGTATGTGTATCAACGCCATTGAATACAGCAAGAATATTGCAGTTATCGCGAATCACTTTTGGAATTTGAGTATATCGTTGAGTGACATATATCACGTCAGTGTTTTTATGCCTACCTCGGGAAAATATTCTAGCAGGGTTCTTTTGATTATCTAACATTACATCATCGTACACTACAAGATTGTTTATGTCTCCATCGAGATCTTCTACTGATGGTGCATCATTAATATCTGTTATAAAGTCGATTACACTTTCACCTTTAATTTCTGATGCATTTTTATTATAATCTTTTAGCACTTCATAGCACCGTTGATCATCTACGGATGGGGCAACTAAATATAATTTATCCCACTTCATAAATCGCATTATCAAATTAAGCAGTAATTGTGTTTTGCCTGATCCAGATGGTCCGATTATAATGGCACGGACAGAATTCGGAAGCGCTGCGTGGTGTTTTACCGGTTCTCTTCTTTTAGTCGCTGAAAAATCAATTATATTCATAACGCTATATATAAATTATGGATCTATATTGTGTTAAGTGTAAACAGCGTACTGATTCAACCGATCAGACAACCATTACAACTAAAAACAATAGACTAGCGCTTACTGGTAAGTGTGTAACATGTGGTATAAAAAAATTTAGATTTTTAAAAAAAAGCAACTCGGAGGTGATATTGCCGCAAAACTTGGAAAACTCCCCGGAACCCCATGGGCAAAATACCCCGGAGAAAAACACCTTCCAGGATATAGCTACTGTGGTCCCGGAACGAGATTAGATATCAGACTTGATGATCAAAATCAGCCCCGGCCTGGTGAGTATCCGATAAATGCTATTGATAAGGCATGTCATGCTCATGATGTTGCATATAAAAGCAATAATTTGCAACAAAGACATATCGCGGATGTAAAATTAATTCATGCCTTAAATGCTATTCCCGATAAATCCTTCAAAGAAAAATTGGCTTCATGGTTGGTCAAATCAGCTATGAAAGGCAAATTAGTGTTAGGTGCTGGTAATTGAAAACACCAGTGTTTTTATAGTATGGAATCTATTTATTATTCTCCGAAAGGATACTGGAGGGGTAAAGCAGCAATCAGTAAACTCGCTAACGCTGCAAAAGTGAAAAAATCCACTGCAAAAGATTGGTTATCCAAACAAGCTATATGGCAAATTTATCTACCACCGCCTAAACAAATTAATTATTCTCATTTTGATGTTACCGTACCCAATGAAGTTCATCAGGCTGATTTATTGTTTTTACCACATGACCATGGTTACAAATACGCGCTAACTGTAGTTGATATTGCGAGTCGATTTAAACAAGCAGAACCATTGAAAACAAAGTCAGCTTCTGAAGTCGCTTCTGCATTTGAAAGGATTTATCGACGAGGTCCTCTAAGATGGCCAAATCTATTACAAGTTGATCCTGGCAAAGAATTTCAAGGTGCTGTTCTATCAACAATGAAAACTCATAGTGTTACAATACGACGGGGGCATACTGCGTTACATCGTGATCAGGCAATTGTAGAACGATTTAATCGAACTCTTGCAGAACGGTTATTTGGATATCAATATGCAAAAGAATTCATCCAAGAAAAACGATCTCGTGAATGGGTCCAAAGGTTACCGAGTGTAGTTGCAGCGTTAAATAACGAGATTACTCGAACTATTAATATGAAACCAAATATTGCAATAAAAAAAGAATATATTCCCGAACAACCGCAGCGGGTTAGCACTCAGCCACTTCTCGGTGATGTTACTGTGAGATATTTATACGAACCAGGAGAGCTTGAAGGCGGTAAAAGAAGAGCTACTGATCCTATATGGAGTGTTACTACGCATAAAATTTCAACTATAACGCGATCAACTGGTAGACCTCCAATCTACAGATTGGATTCCACTGCACCTCAGCGTGGTTTTACACGCGAACAACTACAAGTCATTCCGGACGATACTCAATTACCGCCACATGGTCTTAACTAGCTCCGTTACGTCTATTACACTCAAGACAGGTCAACATCACATTGTTTCTGACATGACCAAGACTGTTATTTTTTCTGTCTACGGTGAATTGTCGAGGGTCTTTATCCGAATACTGCCAGTGCATTATACAATTGCAACTGGCGCAGTGATTATTCTGTTGTTCTTTTAATGCGATTATTACTTCAGCATCAATATCAAATTCTCGTTGTTTTTTTTTGTCCTGCTGTTTGTAACCAGAGAGTTTTTTATTAATGATGCTAATATCAGTGTTATCATCGTTTGCATTAAAATCATCATCGAAAACAATCCTTCGTAGTTGATTTATTCGTCGTACTCTGGACACTGCGAGATAGACTAAATTTGACCATTCAATGCGATTATCAACTATCCAAACAATTGTATCCGTGATGGTCAATCCTTGTGACGAGTGTATTGTTGTTACATAACCAAGCGTCCATGGTGATTTATCAGCGTATAATGCATCTTCTACAGTATTGATATCAACTAGCACAATATCATTTAACACTAGAATCTGTTTATCCGTCTGGCCTGGAATTTCAACTTCAATATTCTGCTTTCGTGTATCCAATGGTCTATAACACAATGGTACTGGAAACGTTGGGAATTTTTTCTTGTGTAGCTCAAACAACTTTTTCTGAAGTGCGTCTCTGACTATCTTTCTACTTGCTACTACAAAATCATTTGGTTTCCATGTTTCCCAAAAATCATTCAAAGGTGTTTCAGAAATTATTTCACGCGCTACTTCACATTGAATTCTATCGGGTTGTAATCTAATTAGTTTTTTAAACTCACGTAACTGCTCATCGAG